CGATTTGGGAGGAATTTTGTGACGATTTTGACAAAATAAAGCTTCAAGCTTTGAGGTCAAAGCTTTTTGAAGAGGGGGAGCCTGATATGATCCCAATTGGATCAATCCACAATTCACAATTACTTGCCAAAGAGGTCATCTCAATTAACTTGAAGCATTCTGATTTTTGGTTAAGTGTTGAAACAGTTTCAGGTAGCCTACTTTGGAAGCTTGTATCTCACAAATGGCTCAATGGAAATTGGAGATCAAGGGTTTGTTTTGCAGATAAAGTTGCCATGTTTCCAATGGTATGCGTTTTGGATTCAGATGATGTCATTAAGGTTATTTTCCAAGGCCTCAAAGTTGCTACCTCAAAACTGGAAAACTGCCAGAAAATGGTAAAGTCTGGAAACTGTTTTGTGAAGCCTACTTTGGAGCTTGATTCGAGGAGTATGGATCTTATTCAAGTCCAAAGGCTTCCACAACATGAAACTAGGTATGTTTGTGAACAAAGGGAAGGAATTGGATGAAGAATTGGAGTTCGGGAAGGCCTCGAACAAAAGGCGCGAAGTTAGTACGAAAGCTGCCTTTTGACTATTTTGCGGGCAGATTACTTGTGCGCCAAGAAAGGAAGTTTATGGCCGAATTTTGAGTCCTTTTTAGAGTTTGTTTTTACCTTAATTGTTTCCTTGTTCATCTAGATTTGTATTAGGTTTTGTTGGCTATAAATAGCCCTCCATTTACGTTGTAAAAACAGAAGACTTTGATTAATCGAAATTGAGAACCGTTTGGTTTGTGCAAGTTGCGACTTGTTTTGGGTTTGGTGGATTCCAAACTTGCTGAGCTTGTGTATCGATTGAATAGTCACTTCAATCGTGGTCGAGCAACTACCCTTTTATACCAATCGAGCTATCCCCAGGTGTGGATTTGTCCTTTTGGTTCCGTTTTATCCAAGTTCGTATTAAGAACGCTTCGTTCTTGATTCGAGCTCAATCGATTCTTCGATTGAGTCGTTAGCTGCGTGACTTTGATAACATACACCCCCTAGGGGCGTATTACATCTTTTGCATTTTCTAACCTCATAACACTATTAGCTATATCATCAGCTAAAGCATTATAGATCCAGCATCTTATAGTACCATTGCATCGAAGCCATGATTGATAAAGCGGATCTGTTACTTCAGTAACTGGTATTTCACCACTAATGAAGGAGACCTTGTTCTTTGTGGCCAGAGCCACTAGCATAACTTGACTCCAGGTATGATAGTTGCCATCCACTAGCTTGATACCGATGATGGTGGACATTGCTCCATCTTGAGGAGGTAAGAAGTAGGGATTGAGGTATGGGTCGTCATATTGGGGGAAAGAAGGCCCTTTCCCTGATTTCGTGGTAGTACTATCTTCACAGAGTTGTCTCCCTTTTCTCCAGACATGATTCAAAATCGATTTTGGGAAGAAAGAAATAGAAAGGAAGAAGAATGTGCTAATGGGTTTGGAAACCCTAGCTGCACTAAGATGAGCAACCAGGCTCTGATGCCATGAGAATAATAAGATATCTGTGGGAAATGCTCGTGTTGAGCCTTTCATTCATCAAGCAATTGCCTTATATATGTACATAGAAGAACATCTACCTACTGGGTAAAACGACTTCTTACAAAAGAATTTAACTACACTAATCAGCTATGGACACGTGTAAAGAGAAACAGTAAAAACATCAAACAAAATACTATCTACCACACGACATCGTTTGGCTCTGCTTCATTTTCTTCTTCGTATCACTTTCTGGATTATGAGCTGAGCCTGTGTTCTTCATTGCAGCTTCACTGCAGATTGTATCATCTAGTTCATCATGGTTCTTTGTTAGTGAGCAAGCGAAATTTGTTCGCCGAAAGTAGAGGACCGACGAAGAAGAGACTAGAATGATTGTTTGAGGGTTCGTGAGATTAATGATCGGCGGTGGAATTGGTGGAGGAGGAAGAGAAAGAAGGGGAAGATAGATACAGATCTGGTGAGGGAGAGGGGGAACATGGTAGATCTATCAAAGAAGAAGGGGGAATTTTCAAAGGGAAAAAGGGTTCGAGCAAGGGAAACACATGCAAAGCAGTAATTTTTTTTATCTGATTTGGGCAAATCCGTTTCACAACAAAAAATGAAAAACTCAACTAAACTCTTTTTTTCTTCTTGGTTTCCACAATTGTTAAGAACACAGCAGAAAACAAAGACAAGCAACAATAGTAAATATGTCTTTGATGTCCAAAAAAACCAAACAACTGATGCCTGCATCAAGTTTTTATCATTTTTCTTTACAAGTAGTCATAGTTGTAGTCTAGAGCTCTCATTGAACCTCCATAGGAATAGAAGTAATTTAATTTGGTTTTCATTCGAAAAAGCACATCAATCAAACATCCTCACTCGAATTTTATTTGAAGAGATGTAGCCTATCTTAGTAATTGTTGTCCAAAACAATCAAGTTGCATTCAATTCAACACGAGTTTTCACACTTTGAAGCAGTTAAACTTGCCAAACAAATGATCGAGGCATCGACACGACAACCATTCTTTTAGTAAAAGAGTAAAGCTACTCACAATCTCAATTAGGGCTGGGAAACGGTGCGGTCTGGTCCAGACCAGACCATATATACGGTCTGCGGTCCAGACCAAGAGGGTAAAACAGAGACCATGGACCAGACCATAACATATACGGTCCAGACCAGACCACGCCTGTGCGGTGCGGTCCGGTACGGTCTGGACCGAGTAGACCACGTACAACAAAACATGTATCCGAAAAATAAAAAACACATTGAAGTTGAACTACTTCTACTCTTCTAGCTATTATTACATTGAAAACAACTCAGAACCAACACCAAACTAGAATTGGGGGATTAATTAGAAGTACAATTCAATTTGTAGCATAGTTCTACTTTTCAAACCAAAGCATCAATACTATCAAGTATTGTCAAATTCCTCGATGAGACCACACAGTTAGGAAGAAAGCAGAGATCAACATTCTTCAATTACTATGTGTTCTACCTCCCTTGTGGGGCTTTGATTGCGGTTACATTTGTCGTTTGGATTGAAGACAACAAAGGTTGGCAATGGGGTTTGGGAACTATTTCTGCAGCAATATTCCTATCGATACCGGTGGAAGGCGCCGGGGCGACGATGAGTAGCAGCAGATCGAGGTTTCCTTCTCGCCTCTTTCTTGTGAACTTCTCGATGGAAGCAGCAGCCGCAACGCGCTCAACTAGGCTGCGACCTCGCAGCGTGGGATGGTCAATGGTGGAGGTCGTCAGGTCGATGGTGGAGGTCGATGACTCGATGGAGATGGTGGATTGGATTTTGATGGGGGAAGGAAATCGTGCGATTTGCGAGTGACAGAGCTGCTAGAAGGCGAGGCAAGGAAACAGGCGAATAGCTATGGCGAGCTGGCTAGGTGATGTGGGCAATGGGCCAGTGGCAATTGGAATTGGAAATTGGGCTTGGAGGCTGGCGGACTGCGAGTGCAGAGTTGGGGAGAATGAGTTGGGCTCAGCACAGTCTAAATTTTGGTCACGGTCTGGACGGTTAACCACGGTCTAGACCAGACCAAACCGTTCCAGACCGCAAGTGAAAGAGGCAAACCATGGACCAGACCAAATTGTTTAATGGTCTAACGGTCCGGACCAAACCATACGGTACGGTCTAAACCGCGGTTTGTCATACGGTTTGGTCTAAATTCCCAGCCCTAATCTCAATAGTAAGTTGTTGCATACTAAAACAACCAAACTTCGATGATTTCTTAGAAGGGTAGATCTAAAATTAGGAAAAAAAGAATCTCCACACCCTTTAAAACTCAGAAAAACGTAAGTGGCCAGCAAAGTGGCTAACATGGCACCGCCAAAATCCAAAGTAAACAACGAAAATTAAACCAAAAAAGAAAAAAGAGCACAAATCTAAGATCTGGGAATGGCCGAATGCAGAATTTTGGTACTTTAACACCGACAGAGCAGAAACACATTTAATTCGCAGATCCAGCCCAACTTGTAAATTGAGGCCACTAACCAAAAACATGGTGGGTCCCACCCATGTGGATGCATAACACAACACAAAGGCCCAGCAACCAAAACCGCACCGACAACCCACAAAGATCGGATCTCCGATCTGGCGTTTCGAACCGTTTCGAAACGCATCGTAGTCGGTCGCTAGTGGAACCCCAGTCACAGTCCAACCAACACCAGAAAGAACCTACCGCGCAAGTAGGCGGTCCAAGTGTCGTGGGCCCCACGCCTTTCTCCTTCACCCACCAAGCAGCACCAACTCTCTCCTTTCTTTCTTCGCTTCACCAACCCCACCCCACTCTCGGTTAGGTGGACGCCGTGGGTCCCGCCCAGAAATCCAATCCGCAGCGTCCACGTCATCTGAACGCTAAGCGATCCCTCGTGAGCCCGGCCGTAGACGATCCGCCTCGATAGCCCGATATAAACGCGGAAAGCTTGAGGGAACGAAAAGCGCGGGGAATCAAGTAAAACCTAAAGCAAGAGAGCGAGTCCCACGATTCCGCTCCTCCCTCTCCGCTATATAATCTCCAGTTCGTCTCTGCTCCTGTTTTTCCTTCTCCCCTCGTCCCTCGTCCCTCTCTCTCTCTCAAATCTCAATTTCTCCCTCGGTTCTTCTTAATAAAATCCCTGGTGAGTTTCAATTCCGCTTGTTCTTCGTCCTCTTTGTCCGTCCTTTTGATCCGATCTTTGATAATGTCGATCTGTTATGCATGTGTTTGTTATGGATGATCTAGTCTCCCCCCGTGTGAATCTGCATCGTTACTTAGCCGAAATTTGATTGATTTCTCTGTGCGGAACAATCTCTTTTTCCTTGTCGTTGTCGATCGATCGGATCCGGCAGACGTGACGATCTCAATTGGGGTTATTTCGGATTTTTTTTTCGACTGGTGTCGATTACGTGTTTGATGAAATGTCTAACTGTGTTGTTGTGGTTTTACCTAATCTGATTGTGATGGTGGGATGTTTTGTGGATCCAGCGTAAACGATGGAGACTTTCCTCTTCACATCCGAGTCTGTGAACGAAGGTCACCCGGACAAGCTCTGTGACCAGGTCTCCGACGCCATCCTCGATGCCTGCCTGGAGCAGGACCCGGAGAGCAAAGTCGCCTGCGAGACCTGCACCAAGACCAACATGGTCATGGTCTTCGGCGAGATCACCACCAAGGCCAAGGTCAACTACGAGAAGATCGTGAGGGACACCTGCAGGGGAATCGGGTTCGTATCTCCCGATGTGGGTCTCGATGCTGACAACTGCAAGGTGCTCGTCAACATCGAGCAGCAGAGCCCCGACATCGCACAGGGTGTCCATGGCCATCTCTCCAAGAAGCCTGAGGAGATCGGAGCTGGTGATCAGGGGCATATGTTTGGGTATGCCACCGACGAGACCCCCGAGCTGATGCCTCTGACCCATGTCCTCGCCACCAAGCTTGGAGCCAAGCTCACCGAGGTGAGAAAGAACAAGACCTGCCCATGGTTGAGGCCCGACGGCAAGACCCAGGTCACTGTCGAGTACAGGAACGAGAACGGAGCCATGGTACCTAAAAGAGTCCACACTGTCCTCATCTCCACCCAGCACGATGAGACCGTCACCAATGACCAGATCGCAAAGGACTTGAAGGAATACGTCATCAAGCCTGTGATCCCAGCTGAGTATCTCGATGAGAAGACCATCTTCCATCTCAACCCTTCAGGCCGTTTCGTCATCGGAGGACCTCATGGAGATGCTGGGCTGACCGGAAGGAAGATCATCATTGACACCTACGGTGGATGGGGTGCACATGGTGGTGGTGCTTTCTCAGGGAAGGATCCAACCAAGGTCGACCGCAGTGGTGCCTACATTGTCAGGCAGGCTGCCAAGAGTATTGTGGCATCTGGCCTCGCCCGCCGCTGCATTGTCCAGGTTTCGTACGCTATTGGTGTCCCTGAGCCATTGTCTGTTTTCGTCGACACTTACAAGACTGGGAAGATCCCGGATAAGGACATCTTGGTATTGATCAAGGAGAACTTCGACTTCAGGCCTGGGATGATCTCCATCAACCTTGACCTGAAGAGAGGTGGCAACTTCAGGTACCAGAAGACTGCTGCTTACGGGCACTTCGGCCGTGAGGACCCAGATTTCACTTGGGAGACTGTCAAGATCCTCAAGCCCAAAGCTTAAGTCTTTGAGCCTAAATCTTGGTTGTCACTTTCTGAAGGTGGCAGGTTATGATCGTAGCCGTATCAATTTGGATTCTGCTTGCTTTGCGAGGGGGGGAAATAAAGAGGAAAAAAGAAAAGATGACGCTGTGGAGGACCCATCGCCTTTGTACTGACAAGGGGAATGATTGTATTTCCAACGCTGAGAGTCGAAGCGGGGTTCCCAAATCGTTCGATTTTCTTTTTGTTTAGTTCGAACAGAGGTTTTAAGCAAAAATAGCATTTGTGGGTTTTATTATAGGAGTTTCTTTAGTAGTCTGTCTGTCGTCATTCTTCATTTTGTCTTGTTACAGTCTGTTGTTCTTCTTTTCTGTCTTAAGCAAACTTTCATTGGTTGTTGTTGAGCTCTGCTGCTGCCTTTTACCACGTTAGTGTGGGTTGATAATGATTGAGGATTCATACCTGTATCCATTTTTATTTCAATTTCTAATCAATTTTAGAAGGGGGGAAATTGCGAACTTTCTCTCCCTGCAAATCTTGTTCTCTCTATCACAAATTTGTAGCACTCTCACGAGAATGGCAGATTCTTTATTACTCGAGGCAAAAGAAAGGAGGGGGGAAGACAAGACAAGGAAGGAACTGCGAACCCCAATTAACTAAAACATAAATCAGTAAATCACGTGTCTTGGCGATTGGAATGAAACATTGATAACTAGTACAATAATGGGTTTGTTTTTGTTGTTGCTCTTCACACATCAAGAATGCAACCACAAACGATCGTGGAGGCGCTCTTCTCCTGCACCAATAATCTCGTCGACCTTTTCTCCGTCGCGATAGAAATGGAAGGATGGTGCGAAGCGAATGTTGTTGGTTGTTTCGGGGCACTCGTCGATATCGGCATAGACGAAGGAAAGCTTGGGGAAGTGGTCGCTCAGCCGGAGAAACGCAGGGAGTATCTGGCTACAGGAGCTGCACCTTCGTTACCGCAATCATGCAAAACGAAAAAAAACGGCAGGGGATGCTACATTAGCCCACAGAAGCAAGCAGCCAGAAGAACATAAAGACGTAGCTCAAAAACTCCTCTAAGAGGCATTACATCGAACACCTTGCGTGCGCCCTGTTACAGCAAGCAAAAGATATACAAGAAAATTGGCTTCCTAAAAAGGGGATGCAGATGAATAAGAAGAAGACGACGAAGGGTACCATGACGCGCCATAGTTGATCACCGCCTGCAACGGCAGAGATAGAACGAGTCAGCCGAACGAAGAAAGAAAAGAAATTGGGTGAATGAATGCGAGAGAGGGGGTTTACTGGAGCCCGGGAAGAAGTGATGTGGCGGAGAATGTTGAGGTGGGCTTCATCGGTTGACACCCTTCTTAAGTTGCCGTGCCGATTCGCCATATCAAGAGCAAGACCTTCCGGCCCTTTCTTCCCGTCTTCCTCCATCGACCTTCTTCGGGTTCTAACCCAAATGGTTCGCTTTTACTTGTTCTGTTCCTCCTCTTTATCATATTAGGTTTTGTTTTGGAGTTGGGTTAGGATACAAAACTTATTAGTTTGTAATCCTACAAAATCTCATGGATGGATGGTTGAGATTGAAAGGGAACGGATCTAAGCATCATATTTGTAGGGTATAAAGAGGGAAAATAGGAAATAGGATAGTGGACTGATCGAATTTTTTGGTTAGTGTACTTTTCAATTCTCTTCTAAAACTTCAACGGATCATATCTCATTCGTTTTATATATGATTTTAGAAATTTTTGCATAGAAAAATTGAGTAATTTGTACTTTATAAGATGATATCCATTTATATATTTTTTGGAGCAAAATTTTTTATAACGTCTTATCACTTTCATATCACGATATTAGGTTGATGTACATATATTACAAAATTAAAAAATATTACCACAATTATGGTGGTGGAAAATGTATTGACCAATTAATTTTGTTTTGGAGACTATAAAATGCGCGAGCTGGGCGAATGGGGGATTTAGGTCAACCAACTCGATAACGCACGGTTGAGCATAATGAGTGAAAATTTCACTCAGCAGGGGCGCTCCCGTGCGAGCTAAATTTTTGTCCAGTCAGTGCGTTTTCGCACACTCTTCTTCTTCATCTACCTCCGCACTCCACACCACACACACATAAGTTTTTCTTCTCCCTCTCTTCTCCCCCTCGGCGATGATAGGCGCGTTGGCGGCGGTGACACGTAAGCAAGCGACGACGACAAGCGGCAGCAAAGAATGGCTGACTCCGAGCGTTATTCGAGTGGCGACGAGGAAGCGGCGTGAGGAGAAAGGGGCTGAGGGTGCGGTTGGCGAGCTTGCGGGGGTCGTCGCTGGCGGTGACTTTGTTCTCACTGGCGGCGACTTTGTCCTCCAAGGATTATGTATACTTATTGAATGAGACGACGAGTTGCAACAATCAATGCAACTCATATTGATTCGAAACTTCTTTGGGCACATGATCAACACCAGGCCGATTCTGTTTGGGAAAACGAGGTAAGCCTTTCATAATAGTTTTTCATTAAAGGTCTTTACTTAGTTAGATTAGATTAGTTAAACTGAAATTATATTTAAGTTTTAGAGAGAATTGTTATAAACGCGCTGCTACGGATCGGGAAATTGCCGGAATCGATAAAGCAAGAATACGAGAGCGAGAATCGAAAGAACACAGACACACAATTTACGTGGTTCACTAACACGATGTGTGTTAGCTAGTCCACGGGCGAGAGAGAGAGCCAGTTTCACTATATCTGAGCGAGACCCCCGGTTACCAGTCGTAGCGGCTGATAATCCGATTCAAGTCATATCAACAAGAATTAATATAAGTTTTTCTATAAATATATATAAGTTTTGTGCACTATAGGGTGGTGATCGACTTTACCATATTAGAGGTACGACCCGTTTGGTTAAATGAAATCCACTTTATGAGTTGTAGCCCAATGATGCTGGTTTGCTTGGTGTTAGGCCATTGGCCCTTATGACCACTGATGCAAGTTTGATCACTGCGCTCATTGTATTTCTGTATTTCTGTACTAATTCGTAAACAATGGTAAATAATCCAAAAACAATAAAATGACAAATAATTATGTTTCTAACAAATGTGCTCAAGTTTGAACAAATCTTTTGAAAAATGAGTGTTTTCGTGTGAGAGGCAACCAGGCATAGTCTTTGAGTTATGCCGTCAAAGGACTTCTCTCGATCAAGAGTGCCATTTCAGGATGTGTCTGGAGACCTCATTCTCCTTACACAACTCTTCCTCACATATTGTATGAGAAGAGATAGTGTGCCTCTAGGCAAGTCGAGATATCTTGGCTCTCGTTTGTAGCTCACATGTGTGGCAACCCATCTTTCACTGAGACGGGAGAGTAGGCTGAGAATTGGTGCTTGAGAGATCGAACTAGCGTCCAATGCTTCACCTTTAACACTATTCCACCCTCTCAACCATCACTTTCCCCACATGAGGCTTTAACAGAGAAGTCAATGTACTTTTGCACTTAGCCACAAGGGAGAGACGCCTTGTTTGAAAAATTGCAAAGTGTGGTGCCATGTTCGGGAAAGTTAAGTTGAGGCTCAAAGTTTGAGTTCTCTTTTGAAAGAAAAAGTAGGAGCACCACCAATGAGTCCATTGCTTTTCACATGTTTTCTTGAGAGTCCCACGGTGCACACTTGAAATGTCTAAACCTCTTTAGTAGACATGATCCTCATCCGAGAGTCTGTGTTGTCATTTAGAGATGTAAATAACATTTTCTCTACTATGATTGTCTTTGAAAGTGCTACCGATTAACTATAAAGCATACCATTGTGATAGTCTATCAAGCTGTACTGATTTGAGTTAGGTTTGCTTAGGAATAAGAAAACGCTTAAGTATGGGGGAGTTTATAACACCTAAAATTGGTGTTATTTAGCCCTCATTACATAGGCGTTTTCATGCAATAATCATCATCTTTGGCTAGTTGAGATTGATTTCGTGCTATAATTGCTTCCTATTGTCAAAATCCTAAGATTTAGCATGTCTTTATCATTACTTGGCCAGTTGGCATGACATTGTTAATTGTAATCCTTTTCTAGGCTAGGTTGCATTTTCTATCTTAATTTCAGGTCCTAGTACGATAAAGAAGAGGCACACCAAGTTTCGTGCCAACTAGAGGTCGTTTGAGGGGTGAAAACAAGGTGAAAAATAAGGCCTTCCAAGTTCCAAAGTTCACGGCCAGTAACTTCTCCCCATGCCCGGAAACTTTGAGAGGACGTCCAGGATGAGTATAGAAGGTATCATGACCCGCCATGTGGACACAACGAGTTGGACTATAAGAAAAGTTTACAGGCGCGTCAAAAAGATTGTGGCTGCGAACTTTCCCCATGAGTTCACCACCTGACGACAAGAGTTTCCGGACGCAAACTCTTGTCCCAAGGTTGCGAGCTTCTCCTTCCCAAGAGTTTGCACCTCCTTTCAAAGTTCACGGTTGCGGACTCTTGCATTGAGGCAGCGATCTTCCCCTTCTCATCAAAAGTTCACAACCTCTTGTCAAAGTTCACGGCCGCAAACTTTAGGCTGCGAACTTTGAGTTGTGAGAGTCTACAAATAGAAGGGGGTTGTTTTGAGCAAAGGGGGCATCCTAGAGAGAGAAACAAAGTATGAAAAGATGTAGAGTCATAGTGACGAGCTTGTAGAGGTTTCGAGTGATTTCTTCTTCATCCTAACCCAAAAACATCCAAGATTCAAGAAAGGTGATCAAAGCAAGAAGGAGAAGAAGTATCTAGCCATGGATTTGTTATATTCTTCCCATTTGTACACTCTTTCTCTCTCTATGTTTTAGCTTCTCTTGTTGTTTAGGAAGATGAACCCTAGCTTGTAGATTGGTTATGGGTCATGTGTAAGGATGATTGTGAACTTATATATCTATGTCTAATTGATGTTTATTCATGTTAATATCTTGCTTTAGTGTAAGTGATCTTTGCTTGTTCTTGACCTAGGAGAGAGAAACACCCTCTTAGGCCAAAGTTAGGGCATACATCAATTAGTGTGGGATTGTTTATGTCCCATTTGTCATTTGGTTGCAACTTACATGATATGGAATCCATCATTATCTTACATATGAATCTACGGCATGTTTGTGTTTAATTAGAGTTCTTAATGCTTCTAATTAGGGGTGTAGATGTATGTTGAATGCCCCTTACCTTGCTTAGATGAGCTAGAGGTCTAACTAGAGGAAGAGGTGACCATCCCCCATTGTTATGAGCTCCCCCAATTGATGCTTGTTGGGTAAGTGCATGACCATTGACTTACCTGATTTGTGTGCGGATGGGTGCAACCCATTTAGAGGAGTTACGACTGATCTCTAGTAGGGGAAACTGATTGTAGTGATATTGGACCGGTGGACACGACTAGAAGGGGGTCGGTTGCATGAACATTGAGCTGATCCCATCTTAGTGACCTCCACACCTCAAAATGTCATTTGTTTTTGCTCTTATTAACCTATAGCTAGCTAGAGGGATTCAAAACATTCTATTTCTTGTGATCTTCCTCACTTTTAGTTTTGTTTCTTTGTTTGTTCACACTTAAACCCTCAACCATCTCTTTTGACTAGATAGTAGGTCGATGCATGAAATAGTAATAGATCTAGAGAGCCCTTGGGAATACAACCTCAGTCACCACTTACTAGTTCGCTAACTTAGGGTATACTTGACCTAGGTTGGGTAGATAAAGAGTATTAACCGAGTTTAGAGCTTGGTTCGGAATGTGCATCAATGACACCGTGAATCTTCCCTTAACTTAGAGAGCCTCGACGCCCTGCAAATAAATAAAGTTCATGATTCACCCTTAGCCAAAATTTATGATTAACTATGTGATTGTAAGAAGTTACTAATTCTTATTGACTTGTGTTTATGCTAATGATAAAATATTTTAAATTAATGAATTGCTTAGTTGTATTGATGAATGATTATAGTGAAACTAAATTGAGATTTAGAGGATTATGAGTGATTTAATAATATTGAAGTATAAGTTTAGTCCATTATACATAATACTCCACTATTTATATACAAAAAAATCAATATTATATATTCAATTTGAACCACCTTTTATTGTTTGTAGTATCGCATTATTTAATTTAGTATATGGTTATACTAATATCATATCGGAACATTTCAGATTGAGGTTGATTTTGGTCATTCTTTAGCATTCGAGATATCAATAAACTAATTTCTCATAGTCATAGCATTTAATTAGTCATGAATCTTGAATTTGAGCATTCAGTGAACTAGCATAGAACATATCTACACTAATATAACCACTTTATTTATGATGGCAAATGGGTGGGGCAGGGCGAGTCGACCGACTCTTACATGTTATTTGAAAAAAATACACGAAAAACATACTTTTTATGCTAAACACTTTATGAATAAAAAATAGTAATATAGAATTGGTAATTAAGTCTAACGAGTTGAAAGATCAACTCTAACTAGTTGAAGAAAAGTAATTGAGGATAAATATGAATAGAAATGAAAATAAAATGGGCAAAGAAAGAGGCAGGACAGTACGGGTGGAAAGTAGATACAAATACACTACCCCACGTTACTACATCTGCGGATAAGCTAATACTCGTCTCAGCACGGATAATACTTGGCAAGGCGGGTTTAAATAGTCATCCTTCCCCTTATGAATTGAGAAAGGGCAAATTTGCCCAATCAACAGCTGAAAAAATGTGGGAGAAAGGAAAAAAAAACCTTTAATATAGTACTTGCGAAAGGGGGCACTTGCATAATCTATAATGCATCATCGGCTTAATTGCAAGTTTGGTCACTCGAATTGCTATAAAATTTCACGTTTGCCACTCAAATTAATTTATTCCATTTATAGTCACTCGAATTAGTTGAACAGTTCAAGTTCGGTCACTCTCCGCTAACCTCCGTTAACTTTGACTGACGTGGCGGTCAACTCTGACCGTTGACCGTTAAATGTGTGACGTGGCAAATAAAAAATAATTAAAAAATAAAAATTAAATTTTAAGAAATTACACATCATTATCACAAAAAAAAATTATAATTATAAAAAATGAAAAAAAGAAATTCCTTCCACGGTAATTAGAGCCGTTATTTCTATGGGTTGCGGCAAAGCCTGCCTGCAGCCGGGGGAGGCAGTGATGCGAATCGATCAAAAATTTCAGGGACGTTCCGGTGGATACTTGTTTGCTTCCTTCATCGTTGTTTCTATGGGGCAAGTGGGCAACCTACCACCACTGCGAAGCGAAATTGAATTTTTCGCTCAGTTCCCAGCACCGCTTCTTCCACCGCTGCCGCCTCCGCCTCAGCCCTTTTCCAATCTCCGAGCTAATCGATACTGGAAGTGGATCTTCGAAGCGGAATTCAATTCTTGGAAGCCGCAAGTTAGTTCCCATCAATACCAGGTCGCCAACGGCCTCCAAATCAATCGCCAACAACGAATCGACCCGCCTCTATTGCTTCTGGTGTCGGAGAAGATGACGGTTCTGGGTGCTATGTATGCTGCAATCGAAGATCTGGAGTCGGAATTAGGGGTTTCTAGCAATCGATTTGTCGATTCTTGCCCAGCCGCTCTGTCACATCGTCGGAGAGGATTACCATCACCGAAAAATTACTCAGCATGATAACCCGGCCGGCGATAGTCAAAACATTTTTATTCCAAGATTTCACTGCGGCGGAATGGAGGGGCAGGGCGTCGGGGATTCGGAGGACGAAGTCATATATACAAACCACACTAGCTCAATCCCCTCCACCATTCATCCTTCACCACATTCTCACAAGACAAGAGCAATTCTCATTCCCTTGTCCTGACTAAACCTCAGACTAATCTTGGAATAACTAAATCCAAGCTACAACAATGGCAGCAATTCAGTCAGCAGAGCAAGAGCACCCTGTTCCGGCCTTTGGTTGGGCTGCAAGGGACCAATCTGGTGTCCTTTCCCCTTTCAATTTCTCCAGAAGGTGCGTCTCAGTTCAATCTAGTTAATCCTGATCCTGATCCATATCCAATTCGAATTTGCTTTTCTCTTTCTGTTGATTTATGCGCTTATCTCTCTGCCTCATTCGTCCAGAGCAACAGGGGAGACGGATGTGAAGTTCAAAGTGCTCTACTGCGGTATCTGCCACTCCGATCTCCACATGATCAAGAACGAATGGGGTACCTCCACGTACCCACTGGTCCCCGGCCACGAAATCGTCGGCCAGGTCACCGAAGTCGGCAGCCAAGTCACAAGATTCAACCCCGGCGACCGAGTCGGCGTCGGCTGCATCGTCGCCTCGTGCCGCTCCTGCGACAACTGCATCGACGACCTCGAAAACTACTGCCCCAAATACACCCTCACCTATTCCGGCCTCAGCTCCGACGGCACCATAACCTACGGCGGCTACTCCGACGTCATGGTCTGCGACGAGCACTTCGTCCTCCGAATCCCCGACGCCCTGCCCCTCCATTCCGCCGCTCCTTTGCGGCGATAGTCAAAACATTTTTTTTTTTGTGATAATGATGTGTAATTTCTTAAAATTTAATTTTTATTTTTTAATTATTTTTTATTTGCCACATCACACATTTAACGGTCAACGGTCAGAGTTGACCGCCACGTCAGTCAAAGTTAGCGGAGGTTAACGGAGAGTGACCGAACTTGAACTGGTCAACTAATTCGAGTGACTATAAATGGAATAAATTAATTAGAGTGGCAAACGTGAAATTTTATAGCAATTCGAGTGACCAAACTTGCAATTAAGCCATGCATCATCTATACCCTAACAAATCCCTTTTACACACTTGTGCTATTTATATACTAATTACTATGTTTAAGTTCATGAGACTTTTACTATTAGGCAACAAACCAACAAATCTACTTATAAATTGACCTCCAAGTAAAATGAAAACCATAATATAAAAAAACCAGAGGGATCGGGAAAACAAGACCGATGATAAAAATATGACAAATCTGACGATCTAGGAGGAGAAAGGGCTGTCTTTGTTTTAAATGCATTACCATCCTGGCCCTATAACAATGGCAGTCAATACAAACTACAAAGGCATTTCTTGACCAGCTGAGGGGGTCTTAGACGAGCAAGCGCTCAATATTTCACCAAAGCGAGCCACTGGCTATCTTCCCCCTTACCATCCATCTTCCTTCTTTAACTATAACACCTATGACTTGAGTGAGAGCTATCTTGCAGGATCTAGGGCTTCTTCCTTACAGGGATAACACTCTAGTCATCTATCTACTTGCGGTTAGGTTTCAGAGAAAACTCCATCCTGGAACTTCTTGCGCAATGCCTCTGCTGCTGATTCAATCCTTGCTTCCTCCTGACACCCATATTCAAACAAAACTCGGGTAAGTGTTTGGACAAGCAATGCAAAATAGAAGGGCAACTAGGAAAGAGATTCATTCAGCAGTGTACTCCACTAACCTTGCCTTCAAAGCTGATCACAAGGGGGCCTGCTCTGGACTTTCGATGACACACTTGATATTGCAGTGTAGAGTAAAATGATCAGACCGACATGAAACACTGAAAGGGCAGCAAAGGAATAAAAAGAGCCTGAAAGTTTCTCTTTACCAATATTCAGGTCTGGGTACTGCATGCAAAGTTTCGATAATGATTGGGCAATTTCGACCTACAATATCCAAGAAAAGGAAAACCAGTTCAATATGGAAAATGAAAATATCACAAGAACGAAAGACATGACTATTAATTATCATGCGTACATCTGAAAGATGGGTGGTTAAGCTCTTTGATTCATATGGTTCCATCAATGTCAATACAGACTTTGTGAAATCAACCAAACACTCCCATTCCTTTTCCAGCTCGGTTGGATTGGTTGCAGTCAGCAGGACTACATTCTGACACTTGATCTACAATCAGGCAGGCAATCATTAGATAAAAACTATTGCCTGTCATTTATTGAATTTATTCTCTTCTGTATTTCTAAGGACATACCAAAGGCACCGACAGGTTTTCATGGTGCAATAGTTCAGTGATTCCTTCAGGCAGCAGAGCCATCTGAAGTCAAAAAAGTCCCAAAAGGATTACATAAATGCATAAGCGAACCCTTAATACTCTAAAAAGCATAACAATAACAGTAATAATAACGAAGCTCATAATGCATAAAGTAGGAAGAAAGGTGGTAGGAAATCGAAAATCATTCATTAAGAAATTGTGGCAGCATTGTGCTTCTTTCTGAATTGACAGTCTCTAGAAGGGGATTGGATGTCTCCCACTGGGATATATGGCCGTATCAAGTTCAGGTATGGTTGACATGGATATAAATACATGCCAGACTGAAATTCTTTTCACATAAACAGCGAGAAGCTTTTTTCTCTTCCTGCCATTTTGATACTAAATGGAGCGAACCTGCAACTAGAAAGACAACAGCAAGACCGTTTGTATTCTTTTTGTACCATTTCTATGACTACATACTACATGTTGTGCGCTTAGGTTCCAATGAAAGGGTGTCAGGGTGATGTAAATTCAAATTTTACATAATGGAACATATTATCCGCTACCACTTATAATCAACTGTTATTTCTATTTTCTTCTTTTGGATGGAAATAATCAACTGTTATTCATTCTATAGTTATGCTCTAAGAAAATCTACATTCACATTGACCATAATATGTAAAAATGGACAGCAATTGAAGAATATTTTACTAAAAAAAAAAACCATCTTCCACCACAGATGACTTTGGTTGACATGAACTACTGGGTCCGACCTTACTAGAAACATAAAATGAGTGGGCTTCTCTATCTCTCTCCCCTCTCTCTCCAGAAGCTTAAGGAGCTCAGTACACAACTGTTGAAAACATGAATATTATCTTACCTCATTGCGGTCACCAGTGAAATGTTTGCCTATTACATGCCTTAGGTACTCTTCAAACTCTTCGTCAGGAGCCTACATTGACCAAAAAACCTTCAAATACTGAATGCAATATTAAGTTTCAAAAGAACTCATGTTTCAACATGCAATGAAAGTAGCAGAAGCACTGGACCCTTTTCAATTCAATATGAAATGAAAAAAACACAAATATAAAGAGTCATACGCACCAGGCGGACCCCAAAAGCCTTGGCAACACCTGCTGAGGTAACATCAGAATGCAAGGGGCCCACACCACCATATATGAATATCTACAAGCCATTTAGTATGGTTGGCATTAGTACCTAGCAAGCCTTGAGAACTATGTAAAAATGCTATCGCGCTTGGAGCAAAATCTATGGCCCTACCAGGTCATTTGAAGATTTCTGCCTTTCAACTTCTTCAGCAACAGAATCAATCTGAGATCAGGAAAAGTCACATCCAATGAACACTAAGAAGGAGGCAATTCATTTTTATGAATTGGATTCACATGCCCGCAGTGGTATTAGTTAAGGGATATAAAGTTCACCATTTATCACCCCCAGTGCTTACATTTCTTATACTGTGGACTCTTCCACACACACAAAAATAAAGTTTCATATTCTAACTCTACAACAGCAGCAACAGTACTTTGACAAAGCCGTACTACTTACATCATTCCGAACTACAGTCGTTTGTGATACTGACCAACCAATTGAACGGAGCTTTCGGCACAACAAAGGTCCCAATTCATCCTGAACAGCACCAGATCTGAGCTATGGATCAGATAAGAATGCAAGAAATTCAACAACAACAGCTGGAAAATTGACGAGATATAACATACATCAGCATGGTGCATGGAAAACTCTCAGTTACCACCACATGCTAAGCTTTGTGAGTTGGACAATCGGACCATGATAGATGAACAAAAATGGGGCACCTCAAGGTGATTGTAATGCGGATAAAGAGATGAAAGGCATAGCATATAAAAGAGGGGACTTACAGAATCTCATCCCCTACGGCAATAGCCGATCCTGTGCGCATTCTCTTTACTTGGGACTCTGGATCATCCAGGCCATCTTCGGCAACTGGAGAACTTTGGGATATAGGAGAACATTTCTTCACCCTTCCTGCTCTTTCTGATCTTCCATCAGAAAGCAAATATGCAGGTTTGAATTTTTCCTTATGTCCGGAAGAGTCGCTGATACAAAGCAACGAGTTTGGAGTTGTATCGTGTATGCTTCCAATTGAAGTATACCTGTTGGTAAAAGAAATCGGTAATCGGATCAACCTGAGAAATACTAAGTAGTAAGGTAAGCACTTCAGGAACATAAAGAAAGTAAATACCCTTGGTCGTAAAGACTGCAATACTGGACCTTGCATGTCAAAAGAAATGCCCAAACATCCCTGCCAACAGACAGAACAAGTCAAAATCCTGACTGGATGAAATCGCAAGTGATCAAGATTTTTGAATGATAAAGCCCCAAACACAACAGAACAGTAGTAGGGATAATCAATCCCGGGTTGCAACTAGGCAGCAAATGCATTATCCATTAATATTAAACATAAGTTGAATGCAGATTCAACAAGAATCAAGGCAATAATATAGTGAATTAACTTCAGACTTAAAGATTTCGAAAGAATCATCAGGAGAAAATAAGACATCTGAGTGTTCCTGAAAGAGGATTTGAACCTGCTCTTCCCCAAAAGATTCAAAGAAACCACACTTGAAACAACCTAATTGAGAAGTCTGGGTTTTAATCAGCATTGATATTAGTTTTCTAACATCGGTATAAAACGCCTAATGAAGAATAACATTAATTGGGAAATGAAAGCAATATTCAAATGAGGATAAGCAATTGGATACACCATATAGTACAAGCTTAAACCTGTAAGACCAATCCAAGATAGGATTAACTCGCATAAAAGGGGGCCATCCAGGTGAACTGGGGGAGAACTGTTCTTGTCCGACCTGCAGGTGAGAAGAAAAAATCATAGCCCATAGATTTCTGATATGATATCCAGCGGCCCAAACAGAAATATATGGAGTTAAGGAAATTTATGAACTTGATAACTGAACTGAGACAAAAGCTTCAACATACCGCAGTTGGATCACCAATTCGGACACCAAGGAAAATTGCTCGAATTGGATTTGCTTTAAAGAGATTTTCCAAACCAGACTTGAAATCTGAGCGTATGATATCCAGTTGCAAGCCATATCTGAATATGTAAACAAATCGATTTTGAATGCTGAATGTTTCAAGTTGATGAATATTGTGATCAATACTTTAGCCAACTAATAGTTAAACAATGGTGGTACAAGTCCATTAAGAAAAAAGATGTACTAAATAACAAGAGGTTTCTCACCTTGAAGCTGCGTCATAGGTGAACGTGTTAATTTCTGGAAAAGCTGAAGGACTCTCAAAATATATTGTTCTCAATGGGAAACTAGTCAATCCCCCATTTGAACAACTTTGTTCACCCTTATGTAAGAAGTAGCCAGCCCTAAGTAGGTGCAACAGAACCTGCAATCCAAGTCGAGCGTTAGAACGAACAAGATAATAGACAACTGCTGAATAACTCATAAACCCATAAAGGAAACCTACAGTTGAATCTTTCCCTCCATTGAAGCTTAAGGCGACCTCTTCGATCCTGTTTAGGAAAACAATTTCAGTTCATGCTGGACCCACATACGTATACTACTAAATAAGAAACAGAGATTAGT